AACTAAACAAAGCACGCAAAGCATACAAGAAAGCCCAAAACTTAAGGCTAACCAAGGGACTCAAACCATGGCCACAAGAATCAAGCCCCAAAGGGCCAAGGGCATCCAAAATAATCCCAAGGTAGGTCAAGACAAGACCAAAAACATGCTCAAAACTAGCCAACACAAGCTAGAATACAACTCCAAAAGACATGAGGCATACAAGGCTACAAAGGGGTGTTACACTACACCTATCAAAACCAAACATAGCATGAATTATCCAATGAAAAACAGAGTTGTGGCATATCAAAATAAGCCCCAAAACCCACTTAGATGGCATCCTAAAGACCTAAGCATGGAGGCATACACAATGGTCCATTCATGAGGCAGAAGACATCAACTCTTTAAAGCATTAAAGGAGTGATAAGTGCAAGTATATGAGCATGAAACATGGACTGAAATAACATTTCAAATGATGCCAAATCATGATAATAGTCAAAATAAAGCATGCTAGTGACTTGGACACTCAACGCTAACAAGCTAGAATGCCTTATGGCTATACAAAGCGTGGCATATATGATCAAAACAACACAAAACAGAGCTCAAGCATGGTAAAACAAAGCTAAAAGCTTCTTTGAGTTGAGCCAAAACATGCAAGAATGGTAGTCTAAACGCAAGATGCATGTTAAAGCAAATGAGAGGATTGCAAGACAAGTACATGAAGCATGTAAAAGCCAACTAAACCCACCCAAAACAGAGTCATGGCATGCTAAAACAACACCAAAAATCCACTGCATTGGAGTCAACATAACCTAGAAAGACATGCTCAAACATGAAGCATATAAGACTAGTTTGTGTGATTTACACTACAAGTGTATTAGGCATGCATGGAGTGACAAAACCAAGCAAAAACAATGTTATATCATGGCAAAACAAAGCCTAATCCATACTAAAATGAAGCTAAAACAAGCTACGCAAACATGCTACCACCATAAGCCATTTATACTAGCATACAAAACAACAAGGAGAGGGGATGACCCTCTCCCATTTAAGACCTCAAAACTACCTTTCCACCACTAGAAATTTTCTGGATTTCAGTGGTAGAAAGGTCATGCAAAGCCAAGAACAAGGGCCAAAAGGAATGGCCTAAAACAAGGCCTAACAAGGCCTAAGAGGGGGTACATCACTCCCAACCTCAAAATGACCTTAAACAAAGATCTAAAGCATAAAAAATCAGAACTTATTGTAGTTTAGAGTTAAGCTTAAAACAATAAGCAAAAAGGGCTAAAAGCTTAAGCAAAAGTGGGGCTTTAAAAGCAAGTTTGCTCACCCTTGAAGAACACCTTCAAGAACAAAGCTCCAGCAGATTTTCCAGGCTTAAACCACCTCAAGAACTCTAACACCAACTCCCTAGCACCTCAGCAACCAAGGATGGTGTTCTACTAGGTGCTCTAGTGCAAAAGTAAGAACAAAATACACTTTAGAGCATAAACACACACACAAATATATATATATATATATAGAGAGAGAGAGAGAGAGAGGGAGATATATATATCACTCCTATATCAGATTTTCAGAACCTCCAAGAAGGGAAGAGGAGCTCCCTTCTTATAGAATTCAAATTCCAAAGCTTCTTAAGCAAGCTAAAACAAGGTTCAAATCCCTCCATACACGTGTATGGAGGATGTGAATTGTGCATAAAATATCTGCATAAAGCAGATGAACAGGGCTCGACTAGAAAACATGGCCGATCGACTAAAAAGAGTGCCGATCGACCAACACTTTTGGCCGATGGCAAGAAAACAAGGCCGATGGCTTCATGCCTTGGCCGATGGGTTGAGGGGATGGCCAACAAGCCACCCTCTTCCCTCAGAAGCAAAAACACAAGTCCTTGGTCCACAACCAAGCACAAAACAGACAAATTGAGAGATCTTGAGGCAAGGCGCGCGGCCGAGACCTCCAGGAACTCAAAACGAACACGAACATAGATGATCATCGAGTGTTTAAACGATGACGTCCAAGTCTTGAGGACAATCAAAAATGGGGTGTCTACAACGCGCTCTCGGGAACTCTCCGACATCCGCGCGCGATAAGGGCACGAGATCTCGTTTAGTTCCGAGCTATTACAGTTTGGACTCAATGTCACGGTTCTGAATCTAATCTTACAATGTGCGATGTAAGACCGATAAATCATCAAAGAGTCGAAATCTGACAAATCATTTTGGAAAACTGATTTTTTAGAAAAAAGTGTCAAACATGGACTGCTTTGCCAGATATAGAGTCGCCACCTAAATATTTTATTTTGAGGGAATTTAGGAAACCCTGACTTGTGCTTAAGGCCACGTGTCCGTCATCACCAAAGTTGCCTCGGCTTGGGAACTTGGGTACGAGAGGGAAAGGTCATGCAATGAGCACCCCCGCTCGCCCGATCAAAGATCGACCTATACTAAGCATGATATTTTGTTTTTGAAAACACATGTGCTCTTATTCCGGTTAATTAGCTAATCTTTAATACGTGATGCGCACAACAAACAAGTATAGACTAGATCGCCTAATTTGGAACAAAAAATTACATGTTCGTTTGTGAAAATGGTTTGAAGTTTGCTACTCGCAAGTAGGCTAAATCGGGAATTTCAATGAATTGTTCCAATTCAAGTAATCTGACCTTCACCCACAGACATTCAGGCAGTTATATCAAATAAGCAGTTAGCCCCATGGCAAGTATGCTTTCATGGTAACATTAACACACATACAGTATGATAAAGCGTAAACACTCACAGTGTAATCCCAGCCAAAACAGAGAATTAGTTAGAAATCATGCATGATCCTAATTCATGTCAAGATGGCTAATGTAACACATGCGAGAATGCTAATAAAATAGGCTCGGCCATTCTAATATGTCATGTGAAATGCAACTTGGTACATGTATTCAACTTAGAATTTGAAATGCAGTGCAATACATTATTAATTGACAACACGGAAGGATGTGTGCATAACTTTTTACAAATCATTTAGATAAAATGACGTCGTCACATGTCCCGTGGTCAATTACTAGCAAGTTTACATAAAGTTGCACTTGTTTCTTACTCTGGCCCTTTAAATTTTATTTTTTTCATTTTGACTCTTTAAGTTTGAAATCCTTCTTACTTTACTCCTATACTAACTTTCATCCAAAAAACTAACGGAATTTTCCATGTCAGCAATTTACCTATAAAATACGAATGAAAAATTATTTTTTTAAAAAAAATTGTACATAGGAAACCCCAATCGTTTTAGGGTTTATTTGCCTCAAACCCAAGTAAAGAAAAGAGAACGAGAGAAAGAGAAAATTGAGATTGAAGGAGTGAATCAAACCTCAATCGAAGAAAGAATCATCAACAGTTCGAGTTCTTTATTTTGAAGGCAGTAATGGCAAGGACTGTTGAAGAAAGAGTCGAAATACCCCATTACAATAAGTATTTTTTGCTTTTTGTTGTGTTTGTATATTAGGGTTATTATTGGTCTATTATCATGATTAAGGTTTGGTTTGTGTATTTTTACAGGATATTAGATGGATTTCTGTTTGTTTTTCATTTTTAAATTTCTGATTAAGAATTTATGGGTTTTTGTCCATTTTTCATGTCTGTAATTCTTAATGGAGAATTTGTTATGGGTTTTGGTGTAGGGTTTTCATGTTTCTAATTTTTTTTAATGGGAAATTTGTTTGACAACTATTTGTGGTAATTTTTTGTGTAATGAGTCCTTATAATCTGGCAAATATTGTTGGATTTTTTATGTAATGTCTGTAGCACTTTTGTTTTCAAAAGTGGTTCCCATTATGTTTGTCTTGTAGTCCCTTAATATTTTTTGTTTTGTTTATATGTAATTACAGATCCTGATTCTATTAGTCAAACAACCTCATCTGGTGTAGTGACTAAACATGTGGATAATAATAAAGGTGGGCATAACACTAGTGATCTTAATTGTGAAGAGGATGATGAAGACACTGTGTATGATGAATTTTCTGAATGTGAATATTCCTTGAGTGATGATGATGTCTTATTTGACTTGATTTTTACAAGGATGTGGAATGGAGTGGGCTAAACAATGCCACTGAGTAAGAAAAAGTAATTGTACCAAAAAATATACTAGACCTGGTTGTGGGTTTCTCGTTTGATGATTATGACTTAGCAGATGGCTTTGAAAGCCTATATGAGTCATCTAATGAAGCTGGAAAGACAGTTAAAAAGCCTAGTTTTCCTATTTTCTAACTAAAGTGGAGGATCTTGATTTTCAAGCTAGGCATGCTTTTTAGGTCTACAACACAATTCAGAGATGCTGTCAAACACCATGCAATTATTCAAGGAAGGAATATTAAAATAGTAAAGAATGAATGGGATAGGGTAAGGGCCAAGTGTCAAAGCAAAGGGTGTAAGTGGGTGATTTTTGCATCTTTTAATGAAGAGAATACAATGCAAGTGCAGTCATGCATGTCTGACCACATGTGGAAGGACATTCACTATGTGATGTATGTGCTTTAATCACGCCTTTTAAGTTTTATTAAAGTGTGATTTTTGAGAGTATGATTAAAAGGGATCATTTTTAATCACACTTTTTAAGTGTCATTAAAAAATGATTTCATCACATCTTTTAAGTGTGATTAAAAATATTTAGATCATATCTTTTAAGTGATCAAAAACATTTAGATCACATCTTTTAAGTGTGATTAAAAATATTTAGATCACATCTTTTAAGTGTGATTAATAACTAATAAAACCTGTGATAAAAAAAAGAATTCGACATATTTGAAGAATAATCAATATTATTTTTGTATGCGCATTTGAAGAATGTAATACACACTATATACTATATTTTGAATCACAACCATATATTGAATGGAATAACGTCATATTTTATAAATGAAAGTTAAATGTTCAAACGTATATACAAAGGAATTAATAAATGTTTAACTGTGATTACATATATTAAAAAATGAAAAAAACTTGAAAAAACTAAGTTCTTGAATTCTTTGATCATATTTTGCATCTCTCCAGGACATTTCTGACCTGAAAAATAAAAACACAAATTAATTCATCAACCGCTAGAAGCATATGAACAAACTTACTATTTTTGTATAGACTGTTCTTGTCTTACAAAAGACAAAATCGGACATTTTCTCATCACACTGACTCTTCATCTCCTGCATCAATAGAAAAGGAATAACGACTTTGATTGTTACTAGTATAAAATGTTTGTATTACCATATATAACTATGACATATATATAGAAATAGGGGGAAAAGCTCTATGTTTGCCTCCTAGTAATCACAAGCAATCAGCTGTGATTGAACTTCTTGTCTTTGTAAATTTGCAACAACTTGAGTGGCATCTTTACGGGCCTGCAAAATTTGAACATTGATATGATAAATAAGATTGAATATAGGGTCAAAATAAAGAGAAACATTACTGTGATAAATATTGTTGTGGTATAGAAAACTAGAGAAAGACATGAAGCACTAAATCTGACAGTTAAATTGAGCAGACGAAGTCCATTTATAGCACTCAATAAGAAAATCAGCTCAATTTTGGAAGACATAATTAGTAGACATAGTGTGTTCTCTCTACGACAACAAAACTTCTCAACAGTATAAATGCATCTTCACTTCATTAAATGTTGGGCAACCTACAAGCAATAATAATATTGTAAATCAATTTACATCAATCTAATTTCAATCAATTTCACCATAAAAAATATATAGTTTATATACAAAAGAAAAGAAAAGGCTTACTTGTTCTATAAGCCCTTGTGCTCGCTCTCCATTTCTTGGAACACTCACTAATTGACCAGCACAACCCTTCCATTGCCTTCATAAATTTTTCTAATCAAAACCAAAGAAAGTAAACATTTTATTTTTGGAAAATAGAAAATAGAGAAGAAAAAATCCTTTATTGCAAACAAATGGGAAAATAAAAAAATAAAAAAGATTAAAAATTATAATTTAGGTAATCTAAACAATGCTAATGTTTAAATTATAGTCAAAATTGTTACAAAATGCGTACTCAATGTACTCACTCCACATAATAATTATCACCATCAAAGATGATGTACTCACTCTCCTTGGCTCTTGCTACAACCTGTGAAAAACACAAATTGAACCTAGCACAAGCCATTATTACACTGGAGTAATGTTGCCTCCGCGTTGAGGAAGTATAAAACCAGAACCACACCTACTTACCTTAAAGTTAATCTCGTGGTTGCCAAATCCAAATATCAGCTTGACTCTTACTTAATGAATTTTTAAATATGATCATATAAGTGCAACAAATCACTTGAAATTCGTCAGTGTAAATAACTAGATAAAGCAGACCCACTAAATATGTAAATACCTGCTGTTTGGTAGCCTAAGAAAGCTGATGTGACATCAGATTTTGATTTGAAGGTTGCATCAACTGAAATTGTTATTAAAGCTGAGAGAAAGCCTACTGAGATGATTGAAAGCTTGCATGTAGTGTTTGCTTCTGTTGTGACAGCATCTGAGCAAACTGAGAAGTTGATTGTTGGAGTGGAAGCTGTTCATTTGCTACGGCGGACAGATGATGTGGACGTAAGTTAGTATTCATTGGGGTTTCTTGTGCAGATGAGGCATTCTGTTGGGCCTGAGGCTAAGAAACAAATAACTGTCCACCCAAACCAATCAATGCCTAACTGATGGGGGTTTGACCCGCAGACTGAGGAATTTGTAGTTGACCATGTTGCTGGAGTGGCGTCTGTGTTTGCATGTAAGATGGTAACTCTTGTGGTGATTGAAATGGCCTTTGCAATTGTGATATTTGCTGCTGCCCAATTGAGGAAACTTGTGGCAAAGACTGGTTAAAGCTCTGGAAAACAGTTCAGAGTCCAAGAAATTGATCATTAAGAAGAGAATAACCATGATTTGTTTCTAGCAAAATTTGAAATTATTATTACATATCCATAGATAATGATCAAGAATATAGCCAACAACTTTTATAGCAAAGCTTAAGAATCTTAAGTTGAACAACAGATAAGCAACAAATTATTCACAAATAGATATGTGCAAACAAACAAATCAATTAATGGAGGGACACCCATTACCTAATCAAACATTGCAGCAAACAAAGCCATAACACCATTTTTATGACCTAATTAAATAGACCCATTACCTAATCAAATATTGCAGCAAACAAAGCCATAACAACTTTTTTATGACCTAATTAAACACTATTCCAAACTAGAGAGGGACCTAATCAAACATTCTTTCAAGTCAACTGAAAGATTAAACTAATAGTACAAATAGATGTATAGAGAGGATTTAGAGGGAGAAAGAGAGGAACTTACAGAGATCGGTAATTGAACTGAGTATTAATCTTGTTCAAACACAGAGGCATCCTTACATCGAGAATCTGAACTTGGTGTTGTAGGTCATAAACATAAACAAATTCAAAACATTAATGTATGTCTATATAAGCACGAACACACACATATACATTAATGTATGTCTATATAAGCACGAACACACAAATACACACATATCCATGTATGTCTATACATGTAGTTTGCATCTTTCAGTAGGTTTTGTATTTACTTACCTAGGAGCAAAATCCAACTTAAGGTAGTTATGCCTGCTTCCAAAATAATTTTCACCATATAGCAAGCTGTATGTCAAGAAAGATATGTTGCCCGCCTCTCTGCAAAAGGAATGATTAGGCAAGGGCTCAAATTTCTACTATGTACAAAGCCAAGAAAACAAAACTTTCATAATGTATAGCAATTCATGTTACATAAAACAAAATCATACATTTAAGATTGTAGCAATCTGACCCCAAAACAAAGGTACCTCACAATGCTGAGGGATAAAATCAACTAATCTTGTTTCTTAGGCATTTGAGTTTCTAGCATTTCCTTCTTCAATATCCCTGCTAGTTCACCATTCCCTTGTTTTGAGTTTCTAGCATTTTCGTAGGCATTACATGAAGATTGGCTTTAGAAACAAATCCCTTCATAAACCCATTTTAATATTTTTTAAATAAAAAACCATTCAAAAACACATTTAAATATAAATTTGTAAGAAATTCATCAAATTTCAACTCTAACCTTATAATTACTTGTAGCCCTTAGCCCAGTCATATTTGTTGAGGATCTGAAATCTGAAATTAACCATGATATGGAGCAAAGTAACATACCAATGCACTGCAAAACATCAAACAACCAAGAAGCAAAAATGATAGCAAAAAGAAAAATGTGATTGTGCTCCAATTAATGATTTATCAACATCAACACTCAACAAAAAAAAAAAGAAAAAAAAGAAAAGAAAAGAAAAGAAAATCTGAAATCACGCACCCACCGCTGCTATATCCACCACCACGGGTCAATCACCCACCTCCGCCGTATCTACCACCACCCACAACAACACCCACAACAACACCCCCAATTTTCATTCCCTAAGCTCAACAACATCACACTCCTCATCAACCACAATCTCATCCAATCCAGACCCCAAAAATAACATTCGATCTGAAACAATAATTTGAGAGAGTGATAGAGAATAGAGAGAGAGAAATACTGAATTGTTCAGTTGTTGTATATCTGTATATTACAAGGAGATTTACACCTCTCTTTTATAGAGAGGAAGAGGGACATTGGGTGCCGTTGCACCGAAAGCATAAAGAGAGAGAGGGAACAACAATTATGAAAGCATAAACATAATAATAGACTACAATGATGACTAACACTACTAATATACAATATGAATATACAATAATATACTAACACGATCCAATGAATCTACTCTCGAATCAAAACCCCCCTCCTCCTCCTCTTCCTCTTCCTCTTCCTCTTCCTCCATTGCAATCGCCAGCAACAGTAGCCTTCATTTGGAGACCGACAGCTCTCTGAGATCAGTCTCCGACATCGCTCTGGTTATTTTCTTCCCCAATTCGTCGACCAGAGAAACTAAAACCATCGAGACCGATCGAGTCGTTGGGATTTGAAAAGAAAGCTATGTCTCTGGGGATATTTAGGGAGTGTGATTAAATATATATATATATATATAATCAATACCATTTATTTGAAAAGAAAGCTATGTCTTTGATACCATTTAAGGATAATCAAGGCGAAAGGCATTAAAGGAAGCAGACGTAGCAGAGTAGTAGACATACAAGAAGAAATTGGAATAATTTGCACACAAAATACAAAATCTAATAAAATACTTTTTAATCAAATACAAAATCTAATAAAATACTTTTTAATCAAATAACTTACAATTGTTTAACAGAAGTAGAAGAAGAAACATTGGGTTGGTTCCAAATATATTGTTTTTGCAAAATACAAAAAAGTTGACTATTTGACTGGGTGTTGGTTCTCACTCAGTTCTAACACAGCACTCTCCAGTTTTGAACCTCTGCCTCCAAATGAATTAACCATTACAATTTATAGAAAGAAAATTAACTATGCAACATGTGAATTGGAGTTTATCATGAGAGCAGCTGGCAGCATATGGGCAAAAGCAGGTTGTCTGATGCTTTCGGTTGATTGACAAAAGCTGATGCAACTTTTAGCAGATTGATTGAGTGATGAACAGTAAAAGTGAATAGTGAATTTTTACTATTCATTACTATCGGTGGAAATATGTTATCAGGGAATCAATATAAATACAAATTGGCATCTTTTCTCAAAAGAGTATTGATTGAAGCCAATATGTAATTATATGGAATCCAATGTAGAGCTGACTAGGCATATGGGTCCTGGGCATCTTGGAACTCGAAACCATATGGGTTTTGTGCAGTTGAACCTTTAGAAGAGTTTGAACTGTCTGAATCCTCTTCTGGATTACTGTTACCAGAATCTGTTTGGACTTCGGCCTGATCCACCAATAGACGAGCCATTTTGAGTAACTCATCTCTAGATGATTTGGACTTGGGCTTACCCTTGGACTTGGATTTATCCTCTTATTTGGGCTTAACAGTGCTGGGCTTTGTTGGCTTTGATTTATCCTTTGGTTTAACCTTTGACTTGGATGACTTGGGCTTGGAAGAACTTGAAGTTGGACTTCCAAGGTTGACTGTAGGAAGCTGGCTTCCTTGGGTGATTGAAGCAGTTGGGTTCTGCTGAGCTTTAACCATGGCAGGTGTAGGAGCATGAACATTAATCGGGAACTCAGCTTGAACAATTTCAACAATACGGGAAATTTTGTAGTTATCCCACCATTTAACCATATGTATCCTTTGAACAACATCATCAGAAATGCCATAGTGCCATTTAAATATCCAAGAGACTTTGTATTTGGATATAAAAATGAGCAATTTAGGGAATTTTCTTCTGTTGGGGGGTGAATGAGAAGACAGTTGAGAAATAGTTAACCTGTTCCATCGCAGTTAATGGTAAGATATCTGAAATGACACCATAATGAGTCCACCATCTCAGAAACCATGTAGGAAATTCTGATTTAAATTTTTGATCAAATTGAAGAAACCAGGAGTGACTAAATGTATCAGTTTGATAGAGGAATATTTTGAACCAGGAATCAATATAGTCATAATAACTATATTGAAGGGATTGATTCTAAGCTGATAAGGAGAACCCATTCAGCTAGGGAAACAATGTTATGAATGTAGAGTGAATGATCGACAACTTTACTAGTGTAGGTGCGGTCATAGATAGGTTTAATCACAATTGACTGATGGTTGAATAGAATGTCTTTATAGAAAGTGATGGTTTTTTCTGGATGGAGAGGAACAAAATGCCATTCAGGAGGAAAATAGGATTTAACCAAATCATTAACAGACAAACTCGTAGAGTGACTAGGTTCTTTGAAAAACAGATTAGTAGTGGTGGATTTAACATAATCAGAACGGGCTGTTTTAATAGGATTAGGAGGGTATGGAGTGACTGCTTGGCTGGATGAAGCAAAAGGATCAGTAGCCAAAGCAGAGGTGTAACTGGGTTTAGGAATGTTACCAAGAACTTGGTAACGATTTATCATTTCAATTGGATGGTATTGGGTTACTAGCCCCAAAGGAGGAGGAACAAAAGGTTGACTAGATGGGACCAAGGCTTTTGAAGGAGGCCTGGGACGAGACATCTGTTTAATAAAGAAACAAGGATTAGCAACAATGATTAACAACCACTAAGTAGGTTTAAATAATTTTGATGATAATCCAAACAGTTGTAGTAATCAGCGAGTAAATGGCAACGAGCTTGAATCTGGTGATAATTAATATACTGAGCACGTGCAGTGGTTTTTTTGGCTAATTTTAATTAGGCAATGCGGTAAGCAGTTTGGTGTATCAGGGTTTTATAATGGGTGATTTGTGATTTGTGGTAAGAGGTAAAAGGAGTGGCCATCCCTATCCTCCCTGTAAAAATTCTCGGGTAAGAAAATCAGGAATAGAATTTTGACAACCAAGAATGTATTCAATATCAAAATCAAAAACGCTTAAAATAGATTGTCATCGGGCAAAAATTTGCTTACTAGCAAGATTTTGAACATCCTTTTCTAAAACATATTTAGCAGATTTACAATCAACACAAAATAAAATTTTTTGATTTAAAATGTCATCTTGAAATTTACTAATGCATAAAACAATAGATAAAAGTTCCTTTTTAATAGTACTATAATTTAATTGTGCTTTATTCCAGACACCAGAATGATAACGAACAATTTGTTCGGAGGACTGAGGAGTGAGCTTTTGAAGAGGAATGCCACCATAACCAATATCAGAAGCATCAGTTTGAATAATTTTAAATGAATTCTCAGTAGGAATGCCAAGACAAGGAAGCGACTTAACATATTGTTTGACCTGTTTAACAACAGAAGTATGGATAGAAGACCAAGGTGGAGGATTATCTTTCAACCGATCAAACGAAGGTTGACAAGTTTTCCTAAGGTCTTTGTAGAATTCAGCAATGTAATTGAGTGAACCTAAAAATTGTTGTAATTGGGTTTTATCTAAAATTCCATCAGGAAACTTAGACGCAAACTCAATGGAGCGACTAATAGGTAAAATTGTATTTTGGTGGATATCATATCCTAAAAATCGGACCTTAGTTTGAAATAATTTAATTTTAGGTGCAGAAATGACTAAACCATGACTTTTAATAGTGTAAAAGAATGCAGTTAAATGTTTCCAATGTTCATTAATGGATTTGGAAAAAATTAATATGTCATCGATGTAAACAATAGAAAAATGACTAAAGGGGTTAAAGATATCATTCATTATATTTTGAAATTCACTAGGAGCATTTTTTAATCCAATTGGCATTACATTCCATTCATAATGACGAAAATGTGTAGTGAAAGCAGTTTTATATCGATCTTTAGGATGAATTTGAATTTGCCAAAAATCACTTTTTAAATCAAATTTACTAAAAATAACAGCTTGACTAAATCTTTTAATTAGATCTTTTTTATTACGAATAGGATATCGAATCCATTCTAAGACTTTGTTCAATGGTTTATAATTAATGACTAATCGAGGGACACCTCGTTCTAATTCAGCATTTTTATTAACATAAAAAGCAGGGCAAGACCAAGGTGATTTACTAAGACTAATAATTCTATTTTTTAATAAGTCATTAATTTCTTTTTTACGCATTTCAAGTAATTCATGATTCATTTGAATAGGTCGAGATTTAGTAGGAATTTGTTTTTCATTAAAATTTTTAATATATGGTAGGGTAACTACATGTTTCTTTCTATGCCAAAAGGCAGTAGGTAAGGTAGAACAAATAGTAGTTTCTAATTTTAATCTGAATTCATTAATTTGAGATATAATAACTGGATTAGTTAATTGTTGATCAATTCTTTTGTAATTAATTTCTTCTTTAAGATATTTCAAATGACGAGTTAAGCGATTAATAGTGTGAGAAATAGAGCAATCTTTTAGTTAATTTAATTCTAACATTTCAGGAGGTGATAAAAATTTAAAAGTAACAGGTTGTCCTAAAATATGGGTAGTTATTCCCTCACTAGAAGTAGTAAATGGATATAATAAAAATATAAATGGTGTACCTAATATAACTTTATCGGTCATATTTTTGACTAAAGCAAATGATATTTTAAAACAAATATTATTTTGACATATATGAACTTTAGATAATTTATATTTAATATGCATACGACTACCATTAGAAGAAGTTAATTTTTCACGGCATTTTTCATAATATTTAGTAAAGAGTAATCCTTCTTGAATACAATTAAGATCAGCACCAGTATCAATTAAGGCAATAACATCTAATTCAAAATCATTAATAATAATTTTAACTTTTGAATACCATTTTTGAATATGGATTTTATTAATAAGATTTAATCTTTATCTTCAAGGTCATGTGAATGATGTGATCTATTATCAAATAAAAGATTATTAGGATCAATATGATCAGAATCATGTTCAGATTCGTGAGGAGATTCATTATTATTTTCTTGGAAATTGTCTAAACTTTTAATAAGTTTTAGAGTAATAATTTCATCTTCTAATACTTTATTTTTATTGTGTAAATCTTTAATAGTTT